TATATACAATTGTTTGGTGTATTGTAATTGTTCGATTCCACGTCACACTACAGTTGTAGCCATCAAGTATGCGTCCCTGTTAGATGGAATGGTTTATATGTGTGTCATTGGTACGTATGCACTTGGTATGTTTAATAGGACGTGCGTGTATTATACATCTGCATGTGTAACCAGAAAAGTAGATACACAGTGTCTTCAACTGCATACGCTCGCTACGCGCGCTTATGTAGCGTTACATATAACACAACACAGAGCACAGCACGATCGCATCAACAATGTAACGACTAGACGTATGTCTTGGCAATACATAGTTAATACATATCAAGGCATATGGAATGGTGTAGGCTTAGGTTATGCATGCACCTTTCAGAAACTGACGGTCTACAAACGTGGTTTTACGTAGATGCGGAGAGGTGGTATATTCACGTGCACAACTATACAAGTATACTGATTACGTATACATACCTAAGTGTAGATGAAAATATGTGTGTGGTGGGTGGATTGGGGGGGGGGGGTACAACTATACCTATTGTAAATGTATATACAACCTAACATATACGTACATTCAACCTAACAGATACGTACGTACAACCTATTATATACGTGCATACAACCTAACATATACGTACATTCAACGTAACAGATACGTACGTACAACCAAATATATACGTGCATACAACCTAACATATACGTACATACAACCTAACATATACGTACCTACAACCTATTATATACGTGTATATAACCTAACATATACGTACATACAACCTACCAGATACGTACGTACAACCTATTGTATACGTGCATACAACCTAACATATACGTACATACAACCTAACAGATACGTACGTACAACCTATTATATACGTGCATACATCCTAACATATACGTACATTCAACCTAACAGATACGTACGTACAATCTATTGTACACACAACCTAACATATACGTACATTCAACCTAACAGATACGTACGTACAACCTATTATATACGTGCATACAACCTAACATATACGTACATACAATCTAACATATACTACATACAACTTAACGTATACGTACATACAACCTAACATATACGTACATACAACCTAACATATACGTACAAACAACCTAACATATACGTACATACAACCTAACATATACGTACATCCAACCTAACATATACGTACATTCAACCTAACAGATACGTACGTACAACCTATTATATACGTGCATACAACCATATACGTACATACATCCTATTGTATACGTACATACAATTTAACATATACGTTCATACAACCTACAACCTAACAAATATGTACGTACGACCTAACATATACGTACATACAACCTAACATATATGTACATACAACCTAACATATACGTACATACAACCTAATATATATGTACATATATGTAAAGCATCTCTGTTGGGGAACCAATTATTGTCGCCGGAGACAACGGAACACACGCACATTGCATTGTATGTAAATAAAGACCAGTAAATATATATCCGTCAAAGACATAAACACCAGATAACAGCCTGTGTACACATATATCCACATAACCAATGCATTCCATACCTTTCATGATATTGTCATTCACACACACACCAATACAATCCATACACACGCCAATAAAATCAATTATAATTCACACATACGCCAATACAAATTATTATAATTCACACACACGCCAATACAAATTGATATAATCCATATACACACCAATAAATTTAAATTTAAATCTCACACACGCCAATAAAATCAATCGTAATCCACACATGCGTCATACAGGAGTATCGAAGCACACAAGAGTCTCAAACTCCCTGCGGCAGCCAAGACTTCATCACAGGCCAAACCAGAGCCCAAAAAAATGTCCAAAGCGGAAAAGAAGGCCGCGAAATTGGCCGGGGTGCGGAAAATGGATGTGGACCCCAGAGACGCCGTACGCACACCTGGGCCTGAGCGAACGTCACCCGCGACTATGGACGCCTCGGCAGAGACCGAGTACGTGGGGTGTAGCCTAGTGGGTGCGATATGTTGTGATAAGATGCGACTTAGTGCAATGGCATTTGGTGTGTTGTAGGTTGTGATAACTTGTGACATCCTACAGTATTGTCTGCAAGTGTAGTATTTTACATCATGAACTGAATCTTATTTAAGTGTAATATTTTGATAAACCCCTTTCAAACACCTGCCCTGTAGTCAACTCAGTGTCTGGTACCTTGCCCTGCACCTGCTGACTTGGGACTGGACTCCTGTCCCTATTTCAGGTACATGATCGACGTATTTGGACATATCAAAGCAATGTTTGAGACAGCCACAGCCTCCGCCTTCCCGTTGCTTGCGAACTCACCCGTTGCGTTAGTACTATCAACGAAACCAGGCGCACACTACCAGAACAACAGGTATGATTATACTATACACACACGTGCACATGTGTAGATGGGAGCGTGTGTTGTGTTGTGTGTACACATCCATAGTCTTACAAACGCACACTACCAGAACAATAAGTAAGACTAAACTGTTACGTATAGTCACAGACATGACACACCTTATCACGTGTGTGCAAGCAAGTATGTGAATGTGTCACTATGTGAGTGTGTATATATATATCTCACTGGTGGCCTATACATCAATATACCTATATATTTATAAATATATATAAATTCTATATATACACACACACACACACATATATATATATATATACATGCATATACATACTGTACGTATGTATACACCCCCCATCTATCTATACCAACAACACATACCTGACACTACACCTCCCCATCTATTTATAGCGCAATGTCTCTGTACTCTAAGAGTAAAGACTTCCCTGCTGACCAGTTTCCCGCAGATTCGCCTATGGACGCAGCTATGCGTCTGTGTGAGCACTTGCCGTCGTCAGATGTCGTGGAGAAGGTGTGTTTATCTTACCTACTGCTGTTTGTTCACTTGTGATCTCTTGCATGGTGTGTCACTTGCAATTTTTTGTATGGAGTGTTACTTACATTCCGTTATATGTATGGTGTGTGTGCATGGGGGGTTAGGTATCTTAACTTTTACTTCATATCAACTTTATTTTTATATCTTAACTTTAACTTTATATCTGTTTTTATATCTTAACTTTAACTTTATATTTTAGCTTTATTTTTATATCTTAACTTTAACTTTGTATCCCAACTTTAACTTGTACCACTCAAGTACTCTAGTCATTCAATCAGAGTGAGTATTCATCTCCTCGAACTTCAACTTGCTTGCGCGGAACGGACATCTGTGCGTGTACCTTGAACTACGCTTTAAGAAACACTAAACCCCTAAACCCTATAGGTTGTACGTCTCTGACTCAGTCATAGCCTGCTCAATACAACCATCCATAAACAACAAGTGAGCTTTCGCAGATCTCTCTAATGGTTTTAACCTAAAACCCTAAAACTCTGAAACCCTAAAACATTAAACCCTGAAATAAACTCATCAGGCAGAGGCTGTGAAGGGCTCGACCATCGCCGTGATCGTCAGCACAAAATATCTCACGCGACAAATGAACCTGCTGTTCCAATTGGGCGCCAGGTGGGTCTATGTGCACCAGCGTATGTGCAGGGCTATATGTATGACTGTATGTATGCGTATGTGTATGATTATATGCATGCGTATGACTATATGTATGTGTATGTGTATGACTATATGTATGCGTATGACTATATGTTTGTGTATGTGTATGACTATATGTATGCGTATGACTATATGTCTGTGTATGTGTATGGCTATATGTCTGTGTATGTGTATGGCTATATGTAAGTGTGATGCTATATGTCTGCGTATGTGTATGGCTATATGTATGTCCAATTCTCGCTGTGCTGGTGTATGTGTATGTCTACACATACACATATACTAAAACAGATTCACTTATCCCTTCAACTACTCGTCATCGACTAATTCATATCAGCGTCCACACCGGTTGGTCACCACACATCCACTCTAAAATCTTGATACGGCAACTTAGACCCCTCCAAACATCCCTCTTTCCAACAATTCAGACCCCCCAAGGTCAAGGAGGAGGTAGTTGTGGTGGACTATTCGTCGCCTAACATTGCCAAACAAATGCATGTGGGGCATTTGCGGTCCACTATTATTGGGGACTGCATATCCAACCTGTTTGAATTTATCGGACACAAGGTGCACCGAATCAACCACGTGGGTGACTGGGGCACACAGTTTGGCATGCTCATTGCACACTTGAAGGTAGGTACGGTGGGATGCATTACGCAGTTTGATAATGGGGTAGTATATATATATATATATATACATATATATATAAATGTGTGTGTGTGTGTATGTACACACTCACAAGCTATCTTAGATGAATGAGCGTCTACGGATACTATCATCTACTGCGACATATCAATCATAATAGCTGCATTTTTAACAGATGTGTTTGATCATGTCGATTGCTTGTTCTTTGTTTGTTCACATTTGTTCATGTACCATATACACACACGTACATACATACATCCCAACATCGCTAACTACAATGTGCCCTTCTTTATTTGGTTAGGATGAATATCCCGATTTCGAGACCAATTCGCCTCCAATTGCAGATCTTCAGGCGTTCTATCAAGGATCCAAAAAGCGTTTCGACGCCGATGAGGAGTTTAAAACACGCGCATGGAACGAAGTAGTGCTACTGCAGGTACGTACAGGATATGTGTGTACGAGATTAATCTGCATATATATTATATATATATATATTATATATATATATATTATATATATATATATCTATGTGGTCATGCCTTTTGTGAGTTGCCCGGTAATTCTATTTATAGCTACTTATGGTTGTTATTCTTGTTATGGTGTGGATCACTGCGCGTAATCATGTGTTCCCACGGTGTGTATGTAGTACATCAGTTGTGTGGGTGTGTTATTCTGTCGTCTGAGGCTATACGTCAAGTACATGCAAGGCTCCAAGCGATCCTTCACAGTATAAGCTTATATGTGCACGTATGGAGTGTGCATGGCATTAGGTGTATGTGTGTGCACTCAACGCGTATGCATGACCGTAGAGTGCCGTTGTACGCTTATAGCCACAGCCGGTTGTACGTATAGCCACGCACGTATCATATGTGCGCGTTCTACGTAATAAGGTACGCGTTCTACGTAATAAGGTACGCGTTCTACGTAATAAGGTACGCGTTCTACGTAATAAGGTACGCGTTTAAAGCAATTGTATGTTTGCACTAGCCCATATACTTCGGCTAGGCCTGGTAGTAGTACAAACGTATTTGTATATGGACGTGCATGAGTGGTAGGTGTCGGTACACGTACCGTACCTATCTATCCGCAATGTACATACGATCGTTGTCTCTAACCATGTAACCGTCCGCGTTGCCATGACAACAGAATGGAGACCCCGTGGTAACCAAGGCCTGGCAGCTCATCTGTGCCGCGTCCAGGAAAGAGTTCGATGTCATCTACAACCGACTAAACATCGTTGGACTCAGAGAGGTACGTCTGACTATTGTCGTACGTCGTACTATTGGTGTGTGCTTGATATCTGTGTCGGAGTGTAAAGAACATGAATGGATATATGGCATTACAATTGCCCACGCGTCAAGGATATGCAGTGTTTCTTCTCGTTATAATTTTCGTCTCGTTAAGAGTATACCTATTTATATATATATATATATATATGTCTTCAAATATTTATATTTATTTATTTATTTATATATATATACATCCTTGTCTTCATATATTTATATAAATATATTTCTTCATATATTTATATATTTATATGATAATATATATATACATCCATGTCTATATATCTATATTTATATATATATATATATGTATTATAAATGCATATTTGTATCTGTGTATATGTTTAATATGCATATATTATATATATATATATTATAGGTGTGCGTGCGTGCGTGTGTATATGTATATTCTTTTGTGCCACTAAAAACGAGTATCCACTACATACTGAATTGCGTCATCCCCCTCACCTTAGCACAATCCACACACCCACGTGCGTGTTCATATCACGCACTCACCCCCACTCCCCTGCACGTATCAGATGGGCGAGTCCTTCTACCAGTCCATGATGGTTGACGTGATCAAGCACTTTGAAGAGCGTGGGCTGGTGACAATTGAGGATGGGCGTAAGCTGGTTTTCTTAGAGGGCAAGGAGGTGCCTATCACCATTGAGAAGAGCAACGGGTCGTACACATACGACACCTCCGACCTGGCCTGTCTGAAGTACAGACTGGATACGTTGAAGGTATGTGTGTGTAGATGTGTAGGTGTGTGTATATGTAGATGTAGGTGTGTGTCGGTGTGTTTATGTGTAGGCGTAGGTGTATGTGTATTGTATGTGTATCTGCATTTTGTTTAGAACAATGCGCTTCAAGTGTGTGTATTCTAGTAGCATACACCTATGTTATGTACATGCAGTAGCATACCCTTGTTACGTATTGTAGGGTTTGAGGGATTATCGATAAAGTAGCATACACCTATGTTATGTATATGTAATAGCATACACCTATGTTATGTATGGTAGGGACAGGTTCCCTTTTCAGATATGACTGAGCAGGTAGACAATACCCCTCAGAGCTCATGAGTATATATCACACTATATATCTCAGAGTCGTATGAACCACTCAGAGGGACGTATATATATTTTAAACACGAGACACGTCTTTCCTAATATAGGCTGACTCCGTGATCTATGTGGTAGATGCGGGTCAATCGTTGCACTTTGAGTTGGTTTGGGGGGCCGCACGCAAGGCAGAGATATACGACGAGACTAAAAATAGAATCGAACACGTGGCGTTTGGGTTGGTGCTGGGAGAGGATAAGAAGAAACTCAAGACACGCTCAGGGGATACCATCAAGCTATCGGAACTACTGGATGAGGCTGTGGAACTGTAAGTATGAGTGTGTACATATGCATATGTATATGTACATGCATATGCCCGTATACATAGATATAGACATACATATACTTATACTTATACTTATACTTATACTTATACTTATACTTATACTTATACTTATACATATACATATATATATATATATATATGTATATATATATATATATATATAGAGATATATATATGTATGTATATACATGTATACATATATACATATATATATATATATATATATATACATGTGTGTGTGTGTGTGTGTGTGTATAGGTCATGTGGTCACGTGGTCTTTGAAGTGGCTGTCTAGTGCCTAAAGCACACTCGCCTATCCACTAACCACCCCCTCACTCGCATTAAATAGATCGTCTAAGGTGGTTGATGACAAACAGGCGACACTTGAAGACGACGCTAAGCTGACAGCACAGGAACGTGAAGATGCCATTAACGTATGTGCAATTGTGTTGTGCTTGTGTAGGTGAAACTACTAGAGCGCGCGTTGAAAAACCCACAAACCTAAACCATAAATCACAACCCTAAACCCTAAAAGCCTCAACTGTAACGCATCCACGAATACGAGTGTCTGTGTGTTCGCGTGTTACGTAGTGACACAGTTGGTTTTAAGGTTTAGGGTTTTAGTCACTGTCTATGCCCATACAGACCAGTGTCGCTCTACCAATGAAATCGTTCCTGATCCGCTAATACCTCATCCCGCGCATATTGCCATATTAGGCCATCGCGTACGGTGCGGTGAAATACGCCGATCTGAAAAGCAACCGAACGGCCGACTATGTGTTCTCATTTGATCGAATGCTGGACTTCCGCGGAAACACGGTATGTGTGTGTGTGTGCATATATATATATGTGTGTGTGTGTAATATGTATATATATGTGCACCTTATGGTCCGTGTGTATACAGTATATGTATAACACGCGTGTATGTGGCTGTATAATTGAGTGTGTTGTCACGTGTTGATGTGCTTGCAATGGTTGACGTGTTCGCTGTCAGCTTTCACACAATGCAACATATAACTCCCTGGTTGTTGTTGTAGGGTTTACTATACTCTATCGGCAGCACATACCTTATATCAATACAACCGCATATGACAACTACTGCAGAATGGATCTGTGTGTCTATCATACATGAGGTGTATCATCTGTGAGCGTACACACACATGTCACACATCTTAACCCGTCCCGTTGTATTGCCACGTACCTGTACGGTATAAACGGAGTACCTGTTGTGCGCGTTCGCTCGCGTCACCTGTCATCATATCACATCACATTACAACTGCACATACCAATACAAAGCATTTACTTAAGTGTCTGTCTTATATGTGTCATGTCTTTAGTTAGCAGCCAGCCACTGTGTAGGAATGTCGCATGCGCACAAATGCATACCACCTGAACCAGCATACACACACACACACACATATATATATATATATATATACATGTTACATTTTCACACACACACACACACGTTACCCTTTCACTAACACACACACACCCACATGTTACCCTTTACCAAGTAGGCGGTATACCTGCTGTACGCGTACACTCGCATCATGTCGATTGCGCGTAAGGCCGGAGTGTCTGAGGCTGACATGGCTGCAGATACCACACCGATTGTACTGGAACACCCCAAGGAGATCAAGCTCGCACTGCATCTGCTACGATTCCCTGGTAAGTGTAGGTATATCTAGGCAGGTTTTGGGGGTGTAGGGTTTGCCGGAGAGTATGTGTTTAGGGTTTTTGGGCGTCGTGTCAGTGCACGGAGTAATGTCCCTTGAGCCGTTTGTTGCTACACTCATCAGATATATTCATAGATAGTGATATATATATATACGTTTACATGTATATATATATATATATATACGTATACATGTATATATATATATATATATACGTATACATGTATATATATATATATATGTGTGTGTGTGTATATACATATATATATATATATATATAGATATATATATATATATATATATATCCTCTGCTTGAATGTGAGTTAGATATATTCGTAGATATAGTGATATCCCTTCCTCTGCTCATATATGCGTTCCTCCGCATGTCCCTACAGAGATAATTGAGCAGTTTGTAGCGGAGCTTAACCCACACGTGGTGTGCGGCTACATGTTCCAAGCGTCGCAATACTTCACCGAATTTTACGAAAACTGTCGGGTATGTATATTTGGTCATATATAGTTTTTGAGTTCACTTTCGGGTGTGTTTATTTGGTCATATGCACTCTTTGAGTTCACTTTCGGGTATGTTTATTTGGTCATATACACTCTTTGAGTTCACTTTCGGGTATGTTTATTTGGTCATATGCGCTTTTTGAGTACACTTTCGGGTTATGTTTATTTGGTCATATGCGCTTTTTGAGTTCACTTTCGGGTATGTTTATTTGGTCATATGCACTTTTGAGTTCACTTTCGGGTATGTTTATTTGGTCATATACACTTTTGAGTTTACAACCAGATTTTGTTGGTCGTGTGTATTAGTCTGGTACTGAATACAAACACACACCCACTCTCGTAGCATGATCTATTCCTAACCTCTATCGTGTCTAGTACTGAATACAAACACCCACTCACTCTCGTAGCAAGATTTATTCCTAACCTCTATCGTGCCTGGTACTGAATACAAACACCCTCAATCCCTCGCACCCACGCCCAACAGTGTACCGAGGTGGTTGACAGGAAGGTGGTGTCGTATAACATGAGCCGTATCAAACTCACTCGCGCTGTGGCGGTGGTCTTGGCCAAGTGCTTCGACATCCTCGGCATGAAGTACGTGCAGCGTATGTGAGCGCAAACCAATGGCTGTTAGGGAAGCTAAGCATAGCGAACGGGCGTGTGCACGTGTACTGTGTAATGACGCGGGGGTACGTTGTACTTAGGATTAGGAACTAATAAATAACTCCCAATGTGCTATTCAAAGCTCGGCCGTATCCATGTGGTCAAATACTCGCACCTTCAAACCCTGGAGAAGCCGTGACACCAATAGATACAGAGAGAGGCTATGAAACCTGCCGTTCGGTTACTCAACAATAGATCGGTATATACACGCTACAATTATGGTCTTAATAGAAGTTTAAAGCTCGTACATTGGATTGACTAGAAGCGTGTAGCGTGACGGGAGTGTCCTCAAATAAATATATGATAGCCAATTCTCAATAACCTAGTATTGATGCTTGTCTAAATCTACCGCATACATGTGCTTAAATCTTATCTCTTTTAGAAACTTGGCAGCATATATGATAATATTCCAATGACATTTTACTACCATGTATTTATAGATGCATATATAAAG